GCTGCTGAGGGGAGCAGCAGGCGAGACAGGAGGGGTCTGCTGTGCCATGTGGACCACCTGCAGGGCAGGAGATGGAACTCGCCCTGAAGCAGCCGTGGCCACTTACGGTGCTACGTCCTAACCCATTGCATCACCAGATAAGGTCTCATATTGATTTTAACAACAGAAAGATGAATGCACAAAAAGATAAACATGGTTGTGTATACACACAAATGCACACACACACAGATACACCAAAAAGTGGAGATAATTTGAGATCCTAAAACTGCACAAGAATTTCACTGGTATACAGAATTTTTCTAGATTACAATGAGAAGGAAGAAAGAGAAGTGGTGGCAGGTCCTGCCTTGTTCCTGGGTGACTTGCTCCCTGCCTATTTGTGGGGTGTTGATTATTGCCTCAAGTGTACCAGTGCCATCTACTGCGAGAACCACTGTACTGCTCCGCTGTGTGACTGTCTTAGATTTTTCTTTATTTTCCCCAAAGTTGGTAGTACCTCCAGTTTTCTCACTCACATATTTTCAATTCACATCTTTTACTCAAATCTCATCTATATCACATATTTCAGTATTATCTTTATAATATATTCAAACTCATCAATTTCATTTTATTGATGGAGCCCTCAACCTTCCACAGTTTCATCAATTTGAAACAAATCCTCTGTCTTCTGTATATTTCTTAAATGTACTTTATTACTGCGGCACATCATCCTGTAACTTGCAAAAATTTATAGAAGTGGTACATTTTTAATTCTCATCTCTAAGTATTTCTAATTTTTGTTATTATACTCATTTAAATGTGCACATTTATTCCTGTCTTAATACGTAAAAGGTGAGTCAGCTTGCTCAGAATCTATTTACTCCCCTTTTATGTTTTCTGATTTATGGGCGTTTTGCGTTTAGAAACCATGCCCACAGTGTTTTAGAAAGACAGGACTTGTTACCAAGGCAGACTGAAGAAGGGGGAGGGGGTCTGACTGTCCAACACTGAGACCCTGAAGAAGATGCAGCCCCTGTGCATGATCATCTGATTTGTTACTTCCCTCCTGACCACAGACAGGTGGTTAATGGGGCAGTGAGAAGATTCACCACTGTCAGAATGGGGAGCAAAACAGGCTGACTGATGAAGCACACTGCTGAGGGGAGCAGTGGGTGGGTCAGGAGAGGTCTGCTGCACCACGTGGTCACCTCCGGGCTGGGCGGGGATTGAATTCATGTGGAAGTGGCTTTAGCTTCTTAGAGCTGTGCTTTAACCTGCTGTGCCCTCCTTTAAATCTAGACATTGTCATATATTCTTGTTTTGGAGTCTAGTCTCTTCTCTGAGATTTTGGTGTGCCATAATTTAGAACGGAGTGAAATTTAAAATTAATGATGCTAATGACAGTCCTGGTGTTAGTAGCTCATGCTGCATTTGTAGACTATCTCAGGCCTCTCAGAAAACTGCTTTGTTTTGGTTATCAGGTCCTTCTCTCTGTCTTTCCAGTCTATGATATTAGGATTCTCACTCTCTGGAATTCTGTAAGAAGCCAGTGAAATCCTTGACTGCTATTTTCTTACCTTCCTCTCTCGGCCTTAGCTTTCATGGTTCTGATATGATCTATTTGGGTCTGTCCCAAGCAAAGACTACTTCCAGGGCTTTGATTTGTCCCTCTCATCTCCTGGTGGTCTGTCATGGGAGTGCCTGAATTATGAATGCCTTGCACAAATCTGATTGAAATGAAGGTCATACCAGAGGGGTGATGGAGGAAGGAATGCAGGCGGAGGCATCACAAAAGATTGATTCACACAAGAGGGGCGGGTAGAAGGGGCTAGAATAGCAATTAACACAGCCATATAAACCAAGTTCCTTGACTCAGACATAAAATCAAAGTCCTCAGGTGCCCAGCCAGGATGTCTGCAGGAGGTCCCAGCAGATAACAGACAGTTGGTGGCTGTGTCTAAAGCTCAGACCCCAAAGATAAAAGATAAGGACTTGGAGATGAAGCGCACTGGGGTCCTCTCAGATTCTATTCAAAGTCAACAAACCTAGGCTCACCAGGAGTGAGCCCCTCCCACGGAGATACTATCTATATCAGGGCAGTCTCTGCACCAGCTCAGGGCAGCCGCTCCTCTGCCCACCTGTGCCTATGCAGGTGCTTCTTTCTACCCACTCTCCCTCTGCAGGGCAGCAGCCTCCACCCTGCCTGTGACCTGTTCCATGCCGGGACCTCTCTGCACTGAGCTCCCGCAGTGGAGGCCGCTCTCTCCTTAGGCCGCCAGCCTGCAAACATGTAGGTGTCTCTCTGCAAGCCTGCCCCTTCCAGGGCATCTCTCCCTGCCTGCTTGTGCCTATGCAAGTGTCCATTTCTCCTGTCCTTTTCCTTAATCAACCTACTCTTTAAATATAACTGAGTCTCTGTCTCATGGAGAAACTTGCTATCTGCCGCTCAAAGGAGAGCTCTGGTGAAATCTTTCCCAGACTTGACCCAAGGACCCCGAACTCCAAAAACAACATCATCGAACCTCTCCACTTGGTCCTTGACCCACACCCATACCTGCTGCTTAGGTCTCACAGAAGGGGTAGGGGTGGGGGAGGGCTGGAGGCCCCTGCCTAAAACCCAGATTGCACTGGGCACCCAGCTCCTACTTCAGGCCTGACAAGGACAAATGTTCTGATCTTTGGAAGGGGTTCATTCATTTGTGGAATCGTTAACTGTTGTTGGATAGATAACTTCTAGGGTGTGGCAAGGTACATTTGAAAGGACCTGTAATTCTCTATAATGGCCTTCAAACTTTGGTCTCTGCCTCCAAAGACTTTTTATAGCACTCTGACAATTGTTATAGCAGTTGGTGCCTAAAGAGTTTTCGTTTTGTTGCAGGGCAACCTCTATATGAAATGGGTTGCCTGAATGTGAGTCCTCACTGTACACTTAAAGTAACATAATAATGCTCAACTGAAGGTGCCCACCAAAAGGTTAATAAAGGATTTATTTATGAAATAAGGGGAAATGTAGAAATGAATATTTCAGGGACAAAGAGGGAGATAAAATTGTAAATGTGTCCTACTAGTTGTGTTAACCTGAAATCCCAATGGCAAATTCAGAGCCAGTGAAAAACCAAGAGCCAAGAGGCCAAGTGACCCACCCCCCACAAAAGGCCCACAATGTCTGGTTTTATAACCAAACCTAGCTGCTTAACAATACCCTCAGGTACCAGCAACCTTACCTTCTGTAATGATGGGATTTGTAGTTCCCAGTATTTTATGGTTCTGGCCTGGCATAGGGGTGGAGTCCATAAAACCCATGGAGTTCCTTGAAGGAACCCTTTCCCCCTAAAAATTTCTATACCTGACTTAATAGCTATATTAATCATTTCTTCCCCTACCTCCAATTTCTAGTCTTGTGATGTCTCCATCTTAAATTTTCTACTGTTAGCCTTCATCAGTTGATATTAGAATTCTCAATTTGTGCCTTAGCATTGGGGGATATGTTATCACTGAGTCAACTCATTTATCATTGTTATCATTCACTAACTCAGTTTCTGCATCTAAAATTGTGGATAACACATGGAGTTAAATAAGACTTTAGTGATTTATGTAAATTGGAAGTCCAATCGTAGGCAAATGGGAAAACTCAGATTTTGATTAAGCTCATATTAATGTTGTACATAGACACCATGTCCTATTATTTCCAATACACTTATATATCCTTCTTTTATATCTACTCACTAACTGGCCTCACTTTTACAGGGTGACATCCATGCCTATTATAGTCTCAGTGATGATTCCAGTCTTTTCTTTCCCACTTCCAGGGCAATTCAGTGTGATAGGACCAAGTGAACCAGTCATCGCCTTAGTTGGGAAAGATGCTGTATTGTCCTGCAACCTTAATCCAGCGATAAATGCTGAGGACATGGAGGTGAAATGGTACCGAAACCATTCTTCAGGTCTGGTGCATCATTATGGTACTTCCCAGGACAATACAGAGCAGCAGATGCCAGAGTACCGAGGAAGGACAGAGTTTCTGAAGAAGAATATCACCAAAGGGCAGGCAGCCCTGAGAATCCATTCCATCCTCCCTTTTGATGGTGGGCAGTATAGATGTTTCTTTGAAAGCTCCAAATACTACGATGATGCAATTTTTGAAGTGTTGGTTACAGGTGAGTTTCTATAATGAAAACTCAGATAATACATATTGTGTTTTGGTCTAGTCAGTGATGTGTAGTGTTGGAAATAATACTGGACAGAAGTGACCATACAAATACAGTGATGAAAACCCAGAATGCTATAGGTGACTCTATACTTCAGGTTGAAATGGAAACATATTCACATCTACTTCTTTATTTTTCTTAATATATTTATTTAAAGTGAAGAGAGAACAGGGGTGCTAATATGTCCTGTTTCAGAGGAATAGCAGAAAATCATCTCATTCTCTTTCAAAACCCTACAGGAGCTAGATAGAAGCAGGAAGACTCTGTTGAGTCCACAATCAGGCCTGGGACTCTGCACCTCATTCCTGTCCACAGTTGACACATTATCTCCCAGTCAGCTGTGGGTCTTGCTTACCATGACTTTGCTATGACATTTTTGTGTACTCAGATTCAGTTTGAACCTGAATAAGTTTGCCTTTAAGATCCCATACCTGCACAGACATTACCCCCCACACACACCCAAAAAAAATAGCTGTCTTGCCAGGAAGAAAGGGTAAGGAATGTTTTTTGAACATATAATGAACCTGAATCAGTCCTTTCTCTACAAACATCGCAGAAACTGTCCTGAATTCAAGTGATGAGATTCTGTATTGCCCCCCTTGCCAGTAGACCTTTAAAGAAGCTTCCAGTCTATCAGACGGAATCCAATAATGCTGATTCCAAAAAAACAACAGCAACAATTTTTTCCTTCAGGATGCCCTGTGTGTAAATACCCATGAGTAACATTTAGTGATGTGCTCTACCTAGCCCTCAACTCACATTTAGATAATAAAGGGTGAATATGGACATGATCTTCATAAATTAAAGATTATTGAAAAGCAAATGGTTTTCAATTTTTAAGCATTTTTTGCTAACCAGACACTTTGGTCCATGTACTTGCTAATACAATTTTTCATGGAAAATTTCATAGAAAAGTCATGGAAAGCATGACTGTCTAAAATTCCTTTTTGGGTTTATAGAAAACTTGCTTCCTCCAACAATTTTACTAGATTTATTCACCTTAAGTATCTGTTGTACATAAACCAGTGTCACTTCCACTGAAAGCATTGACCCAGGCAAGGGAGAGCTGGAGGAGCATTGTTTCATTGTGTTGATTCAGTCAACATCCTCCTAGGAGACAGCCAGAGTCTAAGATACAACGGGACATTCTTTTGAATAAAAGTTCCCAAAGGATGAATCTAAACATTCTTTCCTGTATATTCTTAACTGTTAATTTTTTATGATAAGGCATATTTATTTACTATAAACCAGTAAACACTTTATATGGAATAATTTTTACACCAATCCAATGACTTGAGATTATTATTCTCATTTTTCAGAAAAAGCATTGAGACACAGAATTGAGGTCATTAATTACACTCTGACTAGTGGCAGCAGGTACAAGCCCTCCCCTTGGACTTTATAGAATTTATCTTCATAACCATGATGCTCTTCTGCTTCTAAAATACATTAACTTCTGCATTTATGATTTCTCAGCATTAGCACTGACAGCCACCATTGTTCCAGCCAGGTCATCATATGCTTAGAGCACTACTCACTAGTCATCTCATAGTGATTCCTTAGTGTCTGGCCATCAGGCAATATCAGGCAATAATATCAGATGATATTATGCAATTTTCCTTCCTTAACTTAATGGGAAGTCAGGCCAGAGGTTCAGGGACAGTAAGAGGATTCACCAGACATAGAGTGGGGAGCAGAACAGGCAGATCCATGATGTACACTGCTGGAAGGAACAGTGGGCCAAACAGGAGAGGTCTGCTGCACCATGTGGGTCACCTCTGGGGTGAAACTTACACTGAAGCAGCTGAGGCTCGCTTGCAGTGCAGCATACTAACCTGTTGCACCACCAGGGAAGGCTGGAAGTCGCACTTGTTTTCTAAGGTTGGAGTAACAAATTACCACAAACTGGGGGACTTGAAAACAAAATCTCTTTTCTCACATTCTGAGGACCACAGTCTAAGATCAAGGTGTCATGAGGACTATACTGCCACTCATATATCTATGGAAAATTCTTCCTTCCCTCTTCCAGCTCCTGGTTACCCTGGACATTCCTTTGCTTGAGACAGAATCACTCCAGTTGCTGCCTCCATAGCTGTTTTCCCTGTGTCTGTGTCTAATTTTCCGTCTGTATAAACACCAGTTATTTTTGATTAGCATCTACCTGATCCAACATGACTTCAACTGTATTCATTACTAATATATAAAGAGGACATTTAAAATAAGTTCATATTCACAGATATATAAGATTATGACTTGGACATATCTTTTAGGGGTCACAATTCATCCCCCAATAAGAATGGTTCAATACCAGTAATTTTTTCTTGTTTTTTGTTATCATTTGTTTTATGGTAAGACTGCACTACTATTCACTGAAATTTAAAAGCTTAGTTTCCTGGCCCCTCCCTGGTGGCACAGCGGATTAAAGTGCAGCCCTATGAAGTTATCCACAATCACTGCAGCATGAGTTTAATCTCCTCCCAGGGAGCTGACCCACATAGGGTAGCAGACCTCTCCTGACCGGCCCAAAGCTCCCCTCAGCAGTGTATTTCGTTGATCTGCCTGTTCTGCACCTACGCTGTTTCTGGTGAATTCTCTCACCCCCACATTTCTGGCCTGTATCCCAATTCTTGTGTGCATAAATAAATAAATCTTTAAAAAGAAATATATAAAAACATAGTTTCTTTAAAAATATTTCAAATGCTCAGTAGCTACTTATGACTACTATATTTGTATCATATTGATGTTGAGAGCATTCCAACATCATAGGAAGTTTCTAATGGAAAGTACTTCAAGAGAAGGGTAGCTGGATATTTGGTGAACAAATAGCAATGTGCCACAGAAAACTACTAACCAATATGCTCCCTTAACTTCACAGGCTACGGATGAATTGATATGTGTTCTGATACCCCACTTTAAGAATTATCCAGTTAAATTATCAGTGATGTTTCAAAGGAGAGGAAGGAAAAAGAAAATGGCACAGTCATTTATGGTATTTGGGTGTTTGTTAAATATTAAGTGGCAGATTTAATTTGCTTCTCCCAAAAGTTCTTTGTGAAATTCACTAACCTCCACTTCTTTGAATTAGATAATTGAGATTTATAGAGATTAACTAACAACTACAAGTTCACAGGTCCATGTGAAAAGGCAATAACACTCTGGAAACTATACTTTCTCTGTCCTTTTTGTTTTTCCAGGCTCAGGTGCCACTCCTCATGTTCACATTGAAACTGCTAATGAGAAGGAAGTTAAGCTCACCTGTACATCCTCAGGGTGGTACCCAGAGCCTGAGGTACAATGGAGGGGTCTACAAGGAAAGGATTTGGCACCAGACTCTGAAATAAAGACAAGAGAAGAAAATGGACTGTTTCGTGTGGAAACATCTATAACAGTGGATGCAAGCCCAGGAGGAAACGTGTCCTGTCTCATAAGGAACCCAATCCTCAGTGAGGTGAAGGAAATGCACATTCCTGTGACAGGTCAGTTCCTTCCAAAGTCCTGAGATATCACTGCTGAGTCAGAAGGTTTGACTATCACAGGCCTATGATGAAGGATCTAGAAGGATATTCTGTTTCATTCATTTGTAAGTCTTCTATGGAGAACTAGTAAAAATTCTTGTTTAGTGTTTCTCATTGTGACAGAGAAATGCCACTATTTTACTTTATAAATAAAAAGGTATAGATGCACAAAGAAAACTATCAAAATTCTTTCTAAACTTCTCATCCATCTCCTTAGTAGACTAAATAGACACTTTTAACAATTTCCCATCTCTCAAATTAAGTTTGAATCCTGGCAGTTCTACCTACCAGTTTTGTAAACTTGGGCAACAAGTGACCTTCATATACTCAGTTCTCAACTGTTAATAAGGGATAATAATAGTATCTTCCTCATGAGATATTTATGGGGACTTAGTGGTAACAATATGATAATTCATATTCAGCAGATAAGAGCTCCAACATCCCAATGTACTTTCAATATCTACCCAGTTAATGCTCAGTTAAGGGAAGTTTGTCCCAATAATCTCAAGCAACTTCCCATATATATTTTTAAAGATTTATTTATTTATGCATCCAGAACTGGGGTTACAGACCAGAGGTGCAGAGGTGGTGAGGAGGTTCACCAGAGACAGAGGGGGAAAAGAACAGGCAGATCAACAAAGTACACTGCTGAGGGGAGCAGCGGGTGAGTAAGGAGAGGTCTCCCACGCCATGTGGGTCACCTGTGGGGGGAGATTGAACTCATGCTGAAATGGCTTTAGCTTCTTAGTGCTGTGCTTTAACCTGCTGTGCCACCAGGGAGGGCCCAGCAACTTTCCATAATTTTAAATTCCATTATTTGAAATATTGCAGCCTGTCAGTAAGACCATTTCTTGTACTGTTTTACCTCTCCAGCTTCATTTTTATCAACCATGTAATAGCCATATAAACTGTGAGTACCACATTCTTTCTGTTTTTCTTTAATTGGAAGTTTCCTACTGGTCCTCCAAGACCTAACCCTCTCTACCTTTTCAGGAAGCCCCCCCTTTAAAAAATATTTATTTTTTTATTTTACATCATTCTTCACTTTTGTACAGTGTATACTTTCTTATCTCGGTTATAGTCCTCGTGAAATTCCCACCATCAATTCACCTGTGTACCATCACTGTAGTCCCTTGTGCACATCTTACCCCTGTTTTGATCCTGCTCCTATCTCCCCATACCCCTACAGAATGTCTTTGGTTTATAGTTGCCTGTTGGTTTTGATATCTACTTTATTATAACTACTTTTCTTTTCCTGATTCCTTATTTGGATCCTCTACATTCCTCCAAAGAATGAAACGATCTGGTATTTTTCTTTTTCTTTCTGGCTTATTTCACTGAGCATGATCCCTTCCAGCTCCATCCATGTTACTGCAAATGGCATGAGTTTATCCTTTTTGCTTGTTGAGTAATAGTCCCTTGTGTATATGTACCATGTTTTCCTGACCCAATAATCAGTTTTTGGATATTTAGGTTGTTTCCATAGCTTACTTATTGTAAATAGTGTTGAAATAAACATAGGTTAGGTGTCCTTTTGAATTAAGGGTAGATACCTAAAAGTGTAATTGCTGTATCATATGGAAGCTCCATTTTTAGTAGTTTGAGGAAGGTCCAGGAAGCCTCTTTTAACCCAATCTGTTAAGCACCCTCTGTATTCTCTTGTTATTTTGATTATATATTTCACTGTCTCCCCAGGTGTGATAGAGTCTGGGACACCCTATTTTCTTTTCTTTCCTTATTACTCAGTAAAATAAGAAGTCACAGCTTATTTTTATACAATGTATACATACTTAAATGTGCATGGTGTTTTATTAGGAAATAAAATGTCTATTGTGTTTTAATTTGAAAAGTCACACTGGTTTAAAGTAATTAGAAAGTGAAACCTTGAAATTAGAAATATGTTTACAGATGTCAGAAGAGCATATTTTTCAATATACCCTTAGAAACATGAAGCTAGAAGATGGAAAATTGACCAAGTTTCCCAACTTAAGATTTTATATTGAAGAGTGGAGTTTTAACATTGAAAAGGAAATTATGAGATAGGGCTGAGAAAAGCAAAAATCAATAACTCACAAATCATAGAAAATAAAGCTCTTGAAAACATGAACGTAAAAGATAAAATATAAAGAAAAAGCCTTTTCTATTTATGTGTTGAAATAATTAATTAACTACTGTGCAAACGTTTTGATGTGATTTTAAATGAGGGTAACCCTTGAGTAGAAGTGTCACTGGTATCTTTTGGAACCAACATTAGTTAATGAAAAATTTTAGACCCACAGCCATTATTATTAATTTAAACTACTGACTGTCAGATATCCCATGAGATAGAATACTCACCTCAGAGACCTAGACCGTGAACCTCACAATCATGCCTTTAATCTTAGAAGTTTTAAAGTTCTCTCACTCATCTTTAAATGGTCAAGAGCATATATGTGCATGTAGAAAATAACTAAATAGAAAGAATATGTAAAGTCAGATTAGGACACTCCAGGAGAGAGAGAGGAGAACTGGAAGGAAAGAAATTCTTTATTACATGTGTAGCATTCTATTTACTATTAATCTGCTATTAATATAAGAGAATTAATTGTCACAAATAAGTTAATACATTAACATTTGTTAAATCTTGATTGAGAGCACATAAGCATCTCATGCATTATATTTTTTTCAGCATGTTACTACATTGTCATAATTTATATAATAATCCTCTGGATCTCTATACATTAAGAAGAAAAAACAGGAATCTTTTCAGGATTCTTGAGATCCTTTGAATTACAGGGGTGGGTGGGTGAGGTTTAGCATCTCTGCTCTCCCTAATAATTTCTCACAGCAAAAAATCTTGGGATTTACTCCTTACAGCCAAATCAGCTGATATTACTTGGCTCTTACGTAAGCTATCTCCTGTTTTTCAGATGCCTCGTTCCCCAGCAGCAATCTCTGGATAAAGGTGCTTGCTGTGCTCCTGGCTGTTGCTGTAGTTTTGGGTGTTGTGTATGCTGTGCTTACTAGGAGAACCAAAGGTGAATAGGAAAAAGAATGTGAGGATTATAAAGGTGGTAGGGAGGGGGTAGAGTAATAATAATTATTTGTGGGAAAATCAGAGCCTCTAATAACAAAATACATGTATAATATTACAATGCAATGTTACTTCAATAAAAAGACAAGTGCAGCATAGAAGAACCACAGGCTGTGAAAGTCTCCTTTTAAAGAAATATAATCAAAATCAGGGACAGAGAAATGGACTCTCTCAGGATGTATTTATTTCTAAGTTGGGGAGAAGACAGGGATAGGCAGGTCGTGGCTTGAGTGAAAATTCTAATTTTTCAATGTTTCTTGCTTATGCTCTCTCACACACACTAAATGATTAAGATATGATCTTGCTTGAATCTCTCAAAATAAATTAGAGGGCTTCTCATAACAGGAAAGGAGATATATCCAAATGCTAAGCAAAGATCTCAGTTGAGAAATGTCATCAAGCACTTTATCATCATTGTGTGAATAAACAAATAATTCTAGTTTCTGAATCCACAGAATTAAGTACCAAAACACAAATAAGCCAAGTATATGTGCCCTTTCTTTTATGAGATCGTTGACCTTGACCAGACAAACTCTACTATCTGAGAAATAGTCAGATCCAGGAGTTTGTAGCTAGAATTATTTTGTCATTTAATTGTTATTCTTCTAAATTTTCAATACCAAAATACACAAGAAAAGCTAATGCTTTCATTCAACAAATATGCAGTTGTAAGAATAATCTGAAAGTAATTCTACCTAAAATAGCATCTAAAAGAATTAACTGAAAAGGAATAGATGTGACCCAGGAGGTAAAATCCAATTTGTCTGATTTTCTCTTTTTTTCTTTTTAGGTTTACACAAGAAAATGTATGGTGAGTTGTTTCAGTTCTAACTATGAGAAGTTCACTACTTCCATCTAGAGGACAAGATTAAAGATTTAGATTGTCCTTGACAAATATAAATCCAGCAGAAAAGAATTCAGAGACTTTAGTGCTTATAGTTCTCAGAGCTAGCCTTCTTATTAGAGACACTAGGGTGGAAGTTTAAGCAAAGGTCAGTGAGCTCTTCAATATGTTGTACATATATGCCCTGTCCTGGGACAGTTTCAAAGGCCCAGGGAAGCACCCTGTGTCTCTATCCTCATTAAGTTTTTTCTAAGGAGCCAATAGAGCAGAGGTTCTCAAACTTGCATAGGCAGCAAGAATCACTTGCAGAGATGTTGAAACACAGATTGCTGGACCCCACCCTTAAAATTTCTGCTTTAATCTGTCTGACTGGACCCAATATTAGCATTTCTAACAAAGTCCTAGGTGATGCTGATGCTGCTAAGCCAGGTGGCAAACCATGGGGACTGCTACTAGAACAAAACTTTTATGATGGTTCAGTAAATGTTAAAAAAAATAAATATTAAAATTTAAAGTTTATATATAATTGTTACTTGATGGAGTAAAATAATACAAGTATGAATACACAAAGAACAGATCAAATCCAGAAAAGGAGATTACTGCTTCCCAAACTGCCCTGACCTGAATGTTACCTAACTTTTGTGTTACAAATTTAATAATGTGATGTAAGATACCTAAGAATAGACCAAAGTTTCCTTATAGCATTTCCCCTGGAGGGTCATTTTTCTTTTTCTTTTCTCTTTTTAAAACATTTTATTATATGTATATATCATTTTTTATATCATTTTTCATTTTATATACATTTTTTCATCTCGGTTGTAATCCCTGTGGAATTTGCACCACAAGTTCACCCATGTGCCATCACCATAGTCCCGTGCGCTCTTCCTGCCCCAGTTTTGATCCAATTCCCCTGTCCACCCCCATAGAATGTTTGTAGTTGCTTGTTGATTTTCATTTTTACTTTATTACAATTACTTTTTTTTTCCTTCTGACCCCTTACACTCCTGCTATGAGTGAAATCACCTGGTGTTTTTCTTTTGCTTTCTGACTTATCTCACTAAGCATGATCCCTTCCAGCTCCATCCATGTTGCTGCAAAAGGCATGTGTTTCTCTTTTGTGGTTGCTGAGTAATATTCCACTATGTATATGTACCTTCTTCTTGACCCAATCACCTATTTTGGGGCATTTGGATTGATTCCACATCTTCCATATTGTAAATAGTGCAGCAATAAATTAAGGGGTGCATGTGTCCTTTTGAATTAATGTTTTTGTGTCCTTTGGGTAGGTACCTAGGAGTGGAATTGCTGGAGCATATGGAAGTTCCATTTTTAGCAGTGTGAGAAACCTCCAAACAGCTTTTCATAGTGACTGTACCAGTTTGCATTCCCCCTAGCAGTTAGGAGAGCTCCTTTTTCTCTACATGCTAGCCAACATATGTTATTGCTAGTTTTTTTTTTTTTAAATATGTGCCATTCTCAGAGGCCCTTTTTTCTCCTCTGCATTTGCAAAAACACCTCACATTTAGAGGATTCTTTCTGACCCATCCTGACCCCATTAACTTTTTGGAATCTTGGCCAGCAGTTAAAATCTCCAGATATTATTTGAGGTCTATATTATCATTATTAAGCCCCCTTTAATGTACTTAAGGAACTATTTCTTCCCTGTTATGCCCAGGGTTTCTTCTTGGGGAGCAGTGATGGCATGGCAGGCTGTCTGTTTCAGGTTATTCCTGACTCTTGAAACTCCACCCGGACCAAGGCTCACCCTGTTTCTGTCCCTGTGGATAACCAGGGTGAAATTTATTTCTAGAATATCTTATAGTGAGCTCCACATGATTAAATAAGGACCTAGAGGGGCTTACTAAGTCCTGAGGTGATGACTCTCCAATTAATGGGGTTCATGAGCCTTTAGCATCTTTTAGAAACCAGCAAGCTGAACTGATAACTAAAGTGCTTGCTTCATCATTCACCTCCCCATTCTTCATTTTCACCTACTTGGCCTAAAATTTTACCAAGTGATAATTTGAAATATATAAATTAAGACTGCTTTTATGGAAATTCTTCCAGATTAACTTTGATGGTTGTGGATGTCTTTATTTTTGTCTTTTTTTTTTTTCACACAGAGAAATGACAGAAAGTCAAGTAAGATTAATCATTAATTTAGACAAAATTGTATTGTATAAAAACACAGTAATGTATGTAGCTTCTGATTTCCATAAAAGAAATTTTTGTTCTTTTAAATTGTCTATACATATGATTCATTACCTATTGGGGAGCAGCCCCAACTATCGAGGTAGTGTCCGGAGGTGAGACAGGAAGGGTCTTAAGATAGGCTAGCAGAGATTCCAAGAGGGGAGAGGGGAGTGGGATTGAGGAAGACACTGGAGTCAGGTTTGGAGGCAAGTCTTCCTGCTCATTCCCTCAGCAGGTCTTTATTTATACTGTGTAGCAAGTAGGTAATTGCAGTAATGCATAGGGTAAGTTAATGAGAGATCGCCATAAATTGTCATAAATGTTCTCAAGGACAAGGGGAACAAAGCATTTTTCTCTTAACATTTTATGGTATACTAGATTATACATTTTTGTATAATCTAGATTATACATAATTGTCATGTGTAACTCAAGGGAAGAGAGGTCTGGGAAGGGATGAGCTTGTTAGCAAAAGGTTATTAGGGCCTTAGGGAGGGAAGTAATAAACTGTGTTAGCAGTGTTATCAATGATTGTCTAAGGAAAATCTAGTGGCTAATTTAAGGCTAGCAGAGAGTAAGCAGTTAGTGTTTGTTGTAAAAAGGAGTAAATTAAGGGAAAGTTGTACAGTGTGTATTAAGCAACACCTGTGTACAAGGTTAAAAATTGTCCAGGAGTCCTTATGCCCTAGAAGTCTTATATGAGATTTGCTTTTTTTTTTTTTTAAAGATTTATTTATTCATATAGAACTGGGGTACAGGCCAGAGATGCGGAGGGTGAGAGGATTCACCAGAGACAGAGCGGAGAGCAGAACAGGCAGATCGACGAAGTACACTGCTGAGGGGAGCAGCGGGCAGGTCAGGAGAGGTCTGCCTCGCCATATGGTCACCTCCCGGGCAGGCGGGAATTGAACTCATGCGGAAGTGGCTTTAGATTCTCAGTGCTGTGCTTTAACCCACCGCACCACCAGGGAGGGCCCCTGAGATTTGCTTTTTATTTTAAGAAATCAAGGAAGCTTCCCAGGAGTTTTTATGTCCTGGGTCTTATTTCTCCTGGGGCTTGCCTTTTGTCTCAGCAGACAGAGGAATTTCCCGCCCTGGGGCAGCTTGCCTGGGCCAGGCAGCCATGCAACCCAGTTGTAAACTGATGGTTGCTCAGAATATTTTGATGTTATGATTATACAAAAAAGGGAGGTCATAACATAAGTTAGCAGTGGAAATTCTGATTTTTCAGAGCTTTTCCTTTTCTATCCAGCATCTGCCGGTTGATAGAAGTTGCATAGCTTGTGTCAATTACCAACCGATGTTATAAATTTATATTATCAATTATACATTATATAACCATTTTGCACTTAAGGTCGTCACATTCAGGCATATTAGTTGGCATAGTTTTATCTGTTAGACTTGTTTTAATTTTTATGATCCACATATAGAATTTGAACATTTCTTTATGCTTTTCCTACTATTTCTTCTATGTTTAGAAATCACTGCCTGGATTTTATTTTTACCTTGATCTTATTCTCATTTTTGAGGGTTTTGTTATTAAGTAGTGGTATTAATTTGTACTTCATATACTGAAAAGGCAACTCAATATATAAATACCAACATTTGATTTTTAAAAGTCTTAGCATTTTCCTATCGATTAAGTTTTTAAAATATAGCATTTATAAGCTTTAGTACAATAATCTGTATTTTAGTTACTTTTCATGTGTTTTTTGTTTTTATTTTTTTTAACTTTCTCAATATTTTTTCTTGGGAGAAGTTTTTTTTTCTAAGTGATTTGATATTTTCTTTTATTTCCTTGATAATTTTTAATTAACTGTGCTTCTCCTGTGGGTATCTGATTAACATTCACTAGCTCATCAGGGATCTAAGTGACCTCAGGATCCCATACCCATGCCCCTTCTTTATTGCCTTGCATGGTACTTTGTGCAGATATTAGGCCAGATGATGTATTCTTCTTTTTTGAGGACCATAGCCTTTATGGTGTACAGATTAGGGTGCTCAGTCCACAGATATCTGTGGATGGGACTTGTTAATAAAACCACACTGGAACTAGTCTAAACAGATATATTTTTAAAGTCTCTACCACCAAGAATGATTATCCCTTTTTAGTGCATATAAAGCAAATATCAATTAATTGATGATTATAATTGTATAAAGAGTCCTTTAAAAGCTACTGGAAAATTTGCAAAAAGAGAAATAAGAAATTATGATTGAAATTAGAAAATAGGCATAAATGAATGTAAAAAAAAAAAAGTACATGCCAAGATTTGAAGCACCCACAAGCCTTGGGGCAGGGAGGATGAAGACTGTGGGAGTAAGCACAATGAACTACAATGGAGGATGATGAGTGTTTGATGGTGAGAGAACTCTGGTGACCATACTTGAGGAGAGAAATTCTTTACTGTGAAAAAAAAAATGAACTAGGAACAGTAGCTCAAAAAAGAAGTTCATAATGTCAGCTGGTTTTTCTCTTTTTCTTATTATGCATACTACCCTCTTTCACTTGTTGGGATGAACACGTTTGCCTAAAATGTCCTTGGAGAACCTTCTAGCTCCTCTGCATTTGCAAAGCCTCCTCAGGACTAGAGGTTCTTTCTAATCCACCCTGACCTCACTAACTTTTGGGATCCTTAACTAGATGCTAAATATCAATTTTCATCATATTATATTGTCATAATTATGACACCAATGGAAAGTTTCTCTCTTACAGTGTCCTGAGCTTCTTCTTGAAGGGCAAGTTGTCTGTTTAAGGTTTCAACTCTAAAACAGCCCTT